AATAATAATAATAATAATAATAATAATAATAATAATAATAATAATAATAATAAGCCTGGAAATTGGAGAATAAGCCAGAAAGCATCATTTCTTTGTGCTTTTTGCTATAAGCTCCTGCTGGAGTTCCTCTCTGAACCGAATAAACCCTTTTTTTCAACCACATGGCTTTTGTTCAGACTGTTCTATCATTACAACAGAGCATTGGATGTTTCTCCTTAAGTGGCTCCCATTGGTTTTGAGACAGATTCAGCGAAGCTACCTGGCCAGCAAACTCCAAGAACCAGCCTGTCATTGCTTCCCTAGCATGGGGATTACCTCAGTGCTTGAGATCTGAACTCACATCCTCCTCCTGGCTTGGCAGGCACTTTACCAACTGAGCCATCACCACAGGCCCCTGAATATTGCTATTTTTAAAGCAGTTTGTAGTCTTTAAGAATAATAATTTCTTAGCTCACTAGAAATAATAAATAATAATCCCACCATAATTTTCATCGAACCTTAATATGCAAATTCAAACATAAAACATTCCTGATCACAGGAGCTGTCTGTCTAGATAATGAACTAAACTTCTCAGATATTTTCAGCCTGTGTGATACTCCGTGCCTAATGCCTGTATCACCCTGGCCTGCTGTTAGCTTATCATATTGGACATCATATTAGAGGTGTGCATATGATTTTGCCTGCCTACTTTGGAGTTAGCAGAAAGGGGCTCAACATCAAAAATGTTTAAAGCAAAATTTTCAGGATTGACTAATGTATTTCAGAATTCTTAAAGAATTATTTCTAAAATATTAACAGGATAAATTAATTTAATTATCACAACAATAATATTTAACATTGATTTATACTCCTGCTGAGCATTAAAAGAAACTGCTTTATGGTACCTTAAAACTAGATTATTGTCAATACCTTTGTTGGTCTGAATCCTTCTAAAAGACATTCAAAACATGAGCATCTATCTGTGTTCAAATTAACTATGAATATATCTTTGGAGACGGGGAGATCTATGAAGCAATTATAACAGAGTAAGAGACTATGAATACAACACATAACAGGTAGCATGTGCAAGTAAGTAGCAGCAAGCACCCATGCTTATTGAAATCCAGGCACGGGAGAGCTCACAATTTGACCCACTATCAAAGGTAATGTCGCAATTCATGCTTTCAAGTTCATTTAGTATTGATGAGGTTATAAACATATGGCTTCCTCCCTTGAAATGATTCCTCCATGCAAACACACCTCTACATAGCCTAGCAACTCATCTGCTTTCTGCTTTCAATGTTAGATGAGCATCTCACATTCCCTTAGAGAAAAGGAACTGTCCAGACACATCTTCCCCAGACCTTCCTAAGAAACCAAATCCAATTTTCTGTCAAAGGTCAGAGCAAACAATGCTCAATAAATACTTGTCAGAGCTGTATGAAGATAAATCTTTTGCTTGAACTATTTTGCTAGAGAAAATTTTGTATTCAAGTTTCTACTGGAGTAGAAGAGAATCATAGATCAAAGCCTCAGTATAAAATAAAAGCTCTGCTAAGTTCGGTTACTACAATTTCTTGATCAGTGACAAATGTACTATGGTATCGTAGGCATGATATGGTTAAGGCCTCAACATTTGCAATAAATGTGATAAGCTACCCAGCTGTGGTGATGTATATTCATAGTAGCACCAGTTGGTGCTGCCATAGAAGGATTGAAGCCAACCTGGGATACGTAGTGAGTTTAAGGTCATCTTGGGAGCATATAGAAAAAAAATCCAAAATGCTAAAAGTAAAGAATAAACAGAGCCTCTGAATTCAGATGCTGAGACTCTTAACGAAACTTTGGGCAGAGTTCAGAGAATCCAATGAAAGGGGGAGAAAACATGACTGGGAGAGGACAGGATTTCCACAAGGAGAACAACAGAACCAAAATATCTGGCAGCACAGGGGTCCTTTCTGAGACTGGTACTCCAACCAAGGACCATTCATGGATATAACCTAGAACCCCTGCTCAGATGTAGCCCATGGCAGGCCAGGATTCAAGTGGGTACCCTAGTAAGGGGAACAGGGACTGTCTCTGACATGAACTCAGTGGTGGGTTATTTAACCCTCCCCCCCCAACCCCAAATAGGGAGCAGCCTTGCCAGGCCACAGAGGAGGACAATGCAGCCAGTCCTGATGAGACCTGATAAGCTAGCATCAGAGGGAAGTGGAGGAGGACCTCCCCTATCAGTGAACTTGGAAAGGAGCATGGGAGAAGATGAGAGAGGGAGGGTGGGATTGGGAGGGAATGAGGGAGGGGGCTACAGCTGGAATACAAAGTGAATAAACTGTAATTAATACAAAAAATAAAAATTTAATTTAAAAAACAAATAAATAAAATGTGGACAAAACAAGAATAAACAGAAAACACAAAGAATATTTCATTTATTGAGAAGTAGAGTGGATGGTGATAAGAGATGGGGGTGGGGAGTGCCTGATCAGGAGACTATACATGTGATGCTGTCAATCAATTAAGGGCTACAGAAGGCAGTGAAATGCCCCTGCAGCAATATCTGATGAAGAGCACACTTGTAAAAAAAAAAAAAAAAAAAAAAAAAAGAGGAACAACCGTTTTAAACAGGTGGACCTTGAGGTGCTTTAGGACTTATTTGCATTCTGGAAGTCTTTCGAACTGTAATGGTTGGCATTATACATATGTGGTCATTAAAAGGTTGTTTTTTTTTTTTTAATTATGAGCAGTATCAATCCTACCATTGACATCCTCTGCACATGCAGCTGGCTACATATTTTCCTGTAGTTCACCAAGACAAGGCTTACAACACTTGTCCATTGATAAGCTTTGTTCTTCTAAGTCTCCACATGAAAATGAAAATGGAACAGTGCAGTGAATGAAATAGTAAATGAAAACTGCAATAGTGCAGGAAATTGGTGAGTGAAGGTAAAAATCCACATCATATCTACTTCCTTATTTGATCGATTATCTCTTAATTGCTACATCAGCAATAAAACCACGTAAGCAGATTGCACATCCTTCTCACAGTTCAGTGTTCCTCATCTAAAAGACAAGCCTCATTACCAAAGCAACAACATCACAGAAGTCGTAAGACTGAGGTTGCAGCAGAATCCAAGTTAACGGGTACATCTCATGATATTTACTGTGTATCTGAACTGAGTTTGAGAGGATTCCAAGAACAAATAAAGAAAAATAATTTTCCTGATGAAGCTGAAAGTTCTCATATAGGAACAAGCAGGCTCGATAGCAGACACTAGACTTTTAGGTTTTTTGATTACCCAGTAAAAGGCACAGTGGATCCGGTACCTCCTTGCTGATCTCCAGCTCATCTCTGAGACCCTTTTAATACTCTCACTTACTTGCAGACATCACAATAAATGTTTTATGATTATGAGCAGCAAAGTTACTGCTCATGCAAAGTACATGTATTGGACAAAGCAGTGATTTAAAAGAAATCTCTGAGAGATGCTGATTATCCAGAGGATCGAGTAAGATTTAGACATGTGTCAAAGTGTCCTGTTATCCCACTACCTCATATATTTTATGGGCTGAAGGTCTAATAGTTTTCCCTTTTAATTTCATGAATGTATATAAATGATGAGAGTATGGAAATAGCTCTATCAAAACAGCCTTGTTAGAGCATGTGACCACCCCAAACTCTTCTCTTTATTGCTAAAATGTTCACATTCCTTTAAATCAGTAACCATCTCGGTTTTCTTTTTCATCTTTCTCCTTCGACATAGGTGACTGATATGACAATCCTCTATCCACTCTACCTGACCCATTGCCAATTGTTTTTACCTTTCACTAGCAGGTCTACATTCCTTTACGAATAG